AAAAAGTGATATTTTCGACTTCTTGTTAAAAACCACAAGTCCGATTGCTTTGATATTACATATATAGGTACTACATGTGGACCTCTCTCAGATTTGTTCATTTTGTGATGATGTCTTCAATTCTCTAATTTTCGTGAATATTTTGTAATTTTTGGTAAAAAGTGATATTTTCGACTTCTTGTTAAAAACCAATAGTTCAATTGCTTTGATATTACATATTTAAATACTACATGTAGACCTTTCTCAGATTTGTTCATTTCGTGATGATATCTTGGATTCTATAATTTTGATGAATATTTTTGTCATATTTGGTAAAAAGTGATATTTTCGACTTCTTGTTAAAAACCAAAAGTTCAATTGCTTTGATATTACATATATAGATACTACATGTAGACCTTTCTCAGATTTGTTCATTTTGTGATGATATCTTCAATTCTCTAATTTTGGTGAATATTTTGGTCATTTTTGGTAGAAAGTGATATTTTCGACTTCTTGTTAAAAACTGTAAGTCCGATTGCTTTGATACTATACATATTGTTCATTTTCTGATGATGTCTTCAGTTCTTTAATTGAAATGTGCATTTCTAACAGCGGAGCTATCTCAGCCGATAGGCTGCTTGTTTTTAAATAATTGCTATCAGAAATTACTGACGTCGCTGTGCTAAATAAATACTCGGTTGACTTCCGTTTTTAATGACAGTTGAAAATATAACCCACCTGTCTCCATCATAAAGAGTCTAACACACAATCACTTGAATCAATTAATATGTTGTTAATGAAAAAAAAAACACTTACCATACTGGTAGGACTTCCTTAGGTCTCCCTCACCCACAACTCTAATCCTAACCCTGCCCCTGCTGTGCCCTCTCCCATTTCAATTGTATATACCCCTCTTCGGGTCACGTATAGTTATTTGGAGGGGTATATTTAATTACATTTGAGGAGGGTGGAGTGTTAGGGTTCAGATTGGGGTGAGGTGTTATTAAAGAACTCTTTCCAAATAAATGTCAATATCAGTGCCATTCAGCAATACAGCGATCTTTATAAGTTGACTGCAACCTCAAACGTCACAGCTTGTGACCTCAACTTTCTTGAGAGGTGTGTAAAGTAATGTTTTTCCCATGATTTACTTACTGTCATATTAATTGATTCAGGGCCTGTGGTTTAACATATAGATAATGTTGATGCTTTACATGGTTTTTAAAATTATGAGGGAAATGCAACTTCCTTTTAGTTACAATTGTTGAAGAAGAGTTGTTAAAAAGGTAATAATTCATGTCATCACAGTCAATCACTGCCAGGGCTCCCAAGTGAATAGACATTCAGCCAATGAGAATGCTGGATTTTATTATGATTTACTTGACTATAGCTCAGTTATAAATATCCTGACATGGTTAGTGTGGTTTACAGTATCTGTCTAGAAAATATACATACAAGAAATATTCAGGATGTTGTATTAGCACACAATTGCACAGAGACTAAACAGTTGTAGCATATAAAAGACTTCTGTGGCCAAAAAACAAATTATGTATTTCTTACCTTAAACTTTTTTTGGCCAAAAATGATGCAAAATCGTACAAGATTTCAATTGAAACTGGATTTATTTTGACCTACCGGTAATTGGAAAAAATTAATTTTTAACATCATTAAACATTGGTTTTGTAAATCAAAATGAATAAAATTTCCCACAAGTTCAAATTGGCAGTTACCAGGATGAATAAGCAATTTTTAAAACTATTTTATTGTATTTTTTTTTTTAGGCAACCTATGACAACAGGTACTTCAGTACTTGGTATCAAGTTTGATGGTGGTGTAATGATTGCTGCGGACACATTAGGTTCTTATGGTTCATTAGCTAGATTCCGACAGATATCCAGAATTTATGCTGCCAATAACAACACAATACTTGGAGGATCAGGTGATGTGGCAGATTTTCAGTTCCTAAAAGCTGTAGTTGAACAAAGAATGTAAGTATAAACTTCTGTTTTTATATTGACTTTCATTTTCATGTACAAGGGAGCTTATTAATCCTGCAAATGTTTTAACTTCCACATGTCATAGAATAGTACATAAACCAAATATGACATATATGACATGTAAGCTGAATCATTCAAATGTGACGTATTTTGTCTATGGTTACACCATGTATTTATGTACCGTAAGCATACGCTACTGATAGAGCAAATACAATACATGGACAGCTTTTCTAGAACCTAGCCCAAAGATGCAATTTTAGACGCTTTTCAGATGGCAATTTTGTTTGTTTCTTTAGGATGTGTCTATAAACAACAGCACCAAGGTTGTCTCGCACATTATGACTTGTTTCACTTGAATTTATTATGTAAAGCTAACCTCTCTCTAATTGGGCCCGATGGAGATTCCTCATTCAGATAACAAACCAACATATTCTCTTTAGACATAAAAAAACTATGTATCTACCAAATCACACAGCCATGTATCTTATAGTTCTTTGCTCAGCTTTAGCTGTGGATGATCATTATATAGTATGTACTATTATTATAATGCACTGGGTATTTCATTCTACTATATTAGGAAACGTGAATTCCAAATATGGAACAATTACGCATGTAAGCATCCTCTTATAATAAAAACAAACATGGCTGCGCTCATGGTTTGACACAAAGAAGTCGCTAAATCTGTTCTAAACGTTTTGGATTTCGGCATTCCCATGATGTATCCCTGGGATGAAAAGATTTATAATAATAAAGTTATTATGAAGTTGGAAATCAAATCTTAATCCCATGCATTTGAAAAGTAATAAATATTTAACAAGATACTGACTTTTTTTTCACTTGCACAGCATTGATGATGAATGTTT